AAACGTGTGGTGAGCCAGGATAAGCTTCCATTCAACAGGATGGCACAGGATTGCAAAGTCACAACTTTAGGTTCAAAATTATTTATTGAAGTAAAAAAAGGAATTAATGATTTTTGTTCCTGCTTTGTAAATGTCATTTCTTAATTGCTTATATAACACCAAAAAATGAAAAGGTTTGCTGCTGTTCATTCATTAAGTCGTTTCTGACTCTTCATGACCTCATGGACCAGCCCACGCCAGAGCTCCCTGTCTGCCGTCACCTCCCTCAGCTCCTTCAGAGTCAAGCCAGTCACTTCAAGGATGCCTTCCATCCATCTTGCTCTTGATCGGCCCCTCTTCCTTTTTCCTTCCATTTTCCCCAGCATATTTTGTCTTCTCTAAGCTTTCCTGTCTCCTCATGATGTGGCCAAAGTACCTAATCTTGGCCTCTACTATTTTCCCTCCAATGAGCAGTCGGGTTTTATTTCCTGAAGTATGGACTGGTTGGATCTTCTGGCTGTCCAAGGCACTCTCAGAACTTTCCTCCAACACCACAGTTCAAAAGCATCTATCTTCCTTCGCTCAGCCTTCCCTAAGGTCCAGCTCTCACATCCATAGGTGACTACGGGGAATACAATTGCTTAACTATGCGGATCTTCATTGCCAGTGTGATGTCTCTACTCTTCACTATTTTATCGAGATTGGACATTGCTCTCCTCCCAAAAAGTAAGCGTCTCCTGATTTCCTGGAGAATAATAACCTGCAAAAACTTTGTCTTTACAGAAGGGGCATTTTGCATCACATTTTGCAATAGTTTTTCAATGAATATTTTATAGAAACTCAACCAATTCAACATAGTTTGTGGCAGCCAGAAAAGCAAAATTTCTGCAGCATAACAACTAGTTTTAAAGTACATAAGGTAAAGGTAAAGGTTTCCCCTTGACATTAAATCTAATCATGCCTGACTCTGAGAGATGGTGCTCATCTCCATTTCTAAGTCAGCATTGCCCATAGACACCTCCAAGGTCATGTGGCCACCATGACTGCATGGAGCACCATTACCTTCCCATAGAATTGGTACCTATTGATCTACTCACATTTGCATGTTTTTGGACTGCTAGGTTGGAGCCCCCGGTGGCGCAGTGGGTTAAAGCACTGAGCTGCTGAGCTTGTTGATCGAAAGGTCACAGGTTCGATTCCGGGGAGCGGCGTGAGCTTCTGCTGTCAGCCCTAGCTTCTGCCAACCTAGCAGTTCGAAAACATGCAAATGTGAGTAGATCAATAGGTACCGCTCCGGCGGGAAGGTAACAGTGCTCCATGCAGTCATACCGGCCACATGACCTTGGAGGTGTCTACGGACAACGCTGGCTCTTCGGCTTAGAAATGGAGATGAGCACCACACCCCAGAGTCAGACATGACTGGACTTAATGTCAGGGGACTACCTTTACCTTACCTTACCTTTAGGTTGGCAGAAGCTGGAGCTAAAAATGGGACCTCACCCCGTCCTGTGGATTCAAACAACCGACCTTTTGCTCAGTGAGTTCTGCAGCTTAGCGGTTTAACCTGCTGCACCACCATGGCCCCATTTTCAAAGTACGTACCACACAATTAAACAGGAAATAACACTTTCAAACCAGGGACATTTTTTTTTCAAATTTTGTTATGTAGTGTTTTGCATGGACTTGATTAGAAATAATCTAAGCATCTCTAGATACTCCAGTATGACTCCATGGTTAACTCCCTCTAACTATGCGTTTTCTAGATAGTGACTCTATCGGTCCTCCAATTATTGACCTTAGGGTCATGCTGGAGGGTCTAGGAATCCCATCTTCTCCGAGCTGAGGCATTCTTTATTTGAGGCTGTTCATTTTGAGGGAATTCTGTGCTCTGACCCCAACCAATAAAGAGACCTGGCTGTACTGCTCTATTGTCACAAGTATAAGTGCTCCTCTTGTTGAGCCACCAAAGAAGCCCAAGGCCCATTGGCAGGAGAAGTCAGACTAGCCAAGCTTCCCAGAGGGGAAATATGACCACGATGCAGCCATTTCACCATCATCACCCTTTTCCCCAACAAGAGGCAGTCACATTTCTATCACCAGATGCTCTGTGTTTTGGGGTGGGGGTGGGGAGCATGGGAGGACAAATAGCCTCTCTTTTCTGGACTCACCACTGAGCCTGAAATCCCAGGCCTCAGAGGTATCCAGGGGAGCTTTTGCACAATTAAAGCTTGGGTGCCAGCTATGCCCATACCTGGGGAAGACTGACTTGGCCACTGTGATCCACGCTCTTGATTTTATTTATTTATTTATTTATTTATTTATTTATTTATTTACAGTATTTATATTCTGCCCTTCTAACCCTGCAGGGGACTCAGGGTGGATTACAATGCACATATACATTGCAAACATTCAATGTCAGTTAGACATACAATATATGTAGACAGATGCAGAGGCAGTTTAACATTCGAGCTTTCCGGCTTCAGAAGGGTATGCTCGATTCTGGCCACAGAGTGAGCTGTCACTTTCCTGTCCACTTGTGACACTGAGTCCTTGATGGAGTACTTTCTCATTCTTACACATGCTGCTGGAAGGTTTTATGATGCCATAAATTAGTTCAGTTAGCCTCCCCATATGAAGCTAAATTTCCTACTTGACAGATGCAACTGTCTTTTGGGGTGCATAGGTCAACAGCAAGCTAGACTATTAATGATCGGGAGCTTACTCCAACCCGGGCTGGCTTTGAACTCATTACTTCTTGGTCAGTAGTGATTTAATACAGCTGGCTACTAACTAGTTGTGCCACAGCCTGGTTGCGTCCCGAATAGATTACTGCAATGCACTCTATGTGGGGCTGCCTTTGAAGTCTGTTCAGAAGCTTCAACTAATCCTGCATGCAGCAGCCAGGTTGTTCTCTGGAGTGACATACAGAGAACATACAACCCTTCTGTTACGCCAGCTCCACTGGCTGCCAGTCAGCTTCCAAGCAAAATTCAAAGTGCAGGTTTTAACCTTTAAAGCCCTTTACAGTCCTGGCCCAGATTACCTGTCTGAACATATCTCCCATTATGAACCATCACAGAGTTTAAGATCAGCTGTAGATGCCCTGCTCTCGATCCCACCACCATCACAAATGCAACTGCTGGGGACGAGAGACAGGGCCTTCTCTGTGGTGGCCCCTCAGTTATGGAACTCCCTTCCCAGTGACATCAGACTGCCCCCCTCCCTCCTGCCCTTTAGAAGGAAACTAAAGACCTGGTTGTGGGACCGAGCATTTAATAGTGGCAGCAGCAATTGAGATAAGACTGTTGGGTTTCATCCCTGACTGTACAAGTCTCTAGCCCTCAATGAGTAGTTAGCCTAGATAGATTAGAGTGAGGGATTCCTCCCCTAAATTCCCTGTGCATGTCTACCTCAAGAAGGGGCTCAGAAGGGGGGGGGTTGTCTTGCTCATCCTGCATGCCCCTAGTTCTCCTGATGTTTCGCCTGCATCTATGGCAGGCATCGTCAGAGGTTGTGAGGTCTGTTGGAAACTAGGAAAATTAGGTTTATATATCTGTGGAAAGTCCAGGGTGGGAGAAAGAACTCTCCTACTGTGGACATTGAGGCAAGTGTGAATGCTACTGAATGCTACTATTATGCTACTGTTTTTAATTGTTTTAAACTGTTTTATGATGTTTTTGAGCATTGAATTTTGCTATTGTTAACTGCTCTGAGTCGCCCCAGGGCGGTATACAAATATAGTAAATAAATAAATAAATAAATGTTTACAATTGTCCACCTTGATTAGCACTGAATGGCCTTGCAACTTCAAAGCCTGGCTGCTTCCTGCCTGGGGGAATCCCTTCAACAGAAAGGAGAAAGCCATGAAAAAGAACAAAATCTGTCTACCAGTAATTAAAAAAAACTCTGAAGATGCTTGCCATAGATGCAGGCGAAACATCAGGAGAAATGCCTCTAGAACATGGCCATATAGCCTGAAATAACCCAGAAGATTATGGCAACAAGAATGATTGACAACTGGAAAATAGAGGGAGAAACCGTGGAGGCCGTGACAGACTTCGTATTTCTAGGTGCAAAGATTACTGCAGATGCAGACTGTGGCCAGGAAATCAGAAGACGCTTACTTCTTGGGAGGAGAGCAATGTCCAATCTCGATAAAATAGTAAAGAGTAGAGACATCAGACTGGCAACAAAGATCCGCCTAGTCAAAGCCATGGTATTCCCGTAGTGACCTATGGATGTGAGAGCTGGACTTTAGGGAAGGCTGAGCGAAGGAAGATCGATGCTTTTGAGCTGTGGTGTTGGAGGAAAGTTCTGAGAGTGCCTTGGACCGCGAGAAGATCCAACCAGTCCATACTTCAGGAAATAAAGCCCGACTGCTCACTGGAGGGAAAGATACTAGAGACAAAGTTGAAGTACTTTGGCCACATCATGAGGAGACAGGAAAGCCTAGAGAAGACAATTATGCTGGGGAAAGTGGAAGGCAAAAGGAAGAGGGGCCGACCAAGGGCAAGACGGATGGATGGCATCCTTGAAGTGACTGGACTGACCTTGAGGGAGCTGGGGGTGGTAACGGCCGACAGGGAGCTCTGGCGTGGGCTGGTCCATGAGGTCACGAAGAGTCGGAGACGACTGAACGAATGAACAACAAACCCAGAAGAACCTAGTGATTCCAGCCATGAAAGCCTTCGACAATACAAAAAACTCTAAAATCGAGACAGTAAATAAACCTCACAACCTCTGAGGTGCTTGCCACAGATGCAGGGGAAATGTCAGGAGAGAATGCTTCTAGAACATGGCCATACAGTCCAAACAAACTACAACAACCCAATACTAATTTCCCCCTTTTACAGTGAGTTGTGAAGAAGCATCCCAAAGCACCCCAATCGCCTTGTTTTCCATCCCAAGCATCTAGTGACAGGGAGACGGAGGGGTCCACGGGTGAGGAGGAATCTCGCGTGGGGGCCCCTTGGATGACACGCGTGGAGGGGGGGGATGTCACGTGGCTCTAAGGAGGGAGGGGAAGGGCGCTCTGTTCTCTCCCGAAGGCGGTGGTGCTGAAGAACAGCTCCTGCTCCGGCCCCTCCAGCCCTCCATCCTCTTGGAGCAACTAGGAAGGAGTTGGCCATCCCTGGAGGATTCCCCCTCCGATCTGAAGCTTGAGTGACAGCCGGAGAAGAGGGAAGGGAGGGGGAAGGAACGAGAGCCTCTCCTGCCTTGGAGCCTCCGCCGGCCTCTCCTCCTCCCCTCCTTCCCTTTCCCCTTCCCTCTCATCCAGGAAGGAAGGCAGGAAGGCAGGAAGGAAGGCGGTGGAGAGCCTTGGAGAAGCAGGTGCCACCCACCCACTGCCAGGACCACCGACACCAGGTAAGCAGAGGGTTTCTTCTTCTTCAATTTGGGTGTTTAACCCCTTCCTGCTTCCCCCGTGACCCTCCATCTGCTGTGTCCGGATGTTGCGGGAAGAAAGAGGATGCCTCCCTCGCCTGTTTTGTTTTCCTCCCTCTTTTCCTGCCTTCCTCGCTCTCTCTTTCCCTGCCACCCTTCCTCTAAGTTTGTGGCATCTTTCAGAGGTTTGCTTCTGACTCCCCTGGATGGGACTTGAAGCCTTTCTTCCTGGAGCAAAGAGATTGTTGTAGGTAACCCTCTCCCGTCCTTCTCCTCCCTCTTAGTAAACGAGGAGCCCGACTTGAGTCGCTTGGCTTCTCCATCCCTTCCTCCTCCCATCCTTGGGCTCCAGGGAGGGTCTTTGAGAAGAAGTTCTCATTGAGGACGATTAGGAAGGGGTTTCATTGGGACAGAGGGCCACAAACACCCCCTACATCACTGTTTCATAAGATGTTTTAGAACAGCGTTTCACAACCTGGGGGTTGGGACCCCAGGGGGTCGCCAGGGGGCATCAGAGGGGTTGTCAAAGACCATGAGAAAACACAGTATTTTCTGTTGCTCATGAGGATTCAGTGTGGGAAGTTTGGCCCTATTCTGTCGTTGTTGGGGTTCAGAATGCTCTTTGATTGTAGGTGAACTACAAATCCCAGCAACTACAACTTCCAAATGTCAAGGTCTATTTCCCCCAAACTCCACCAGTGTTCACATTTGGGCATATTGAGTATTCGTGCCAAGTTTGGTCCAGATCTATCATTGTTTGAGTCCACAGTGCTCTCTGGATGTAGGTGAACTACAACTCCCAAACTCAAGGTCAAGGCCCACCAAACCCTTTCTAGTATTTTCTGTTGGTCATGGGATTTCTGTTTTCCAAGTTTGGTTCAATTCCATCATTGGTGGAGTTCAAAATGCTCTTTGATTGTAGGTGAACTATAAATCCCAGCAACTACAACTCCCAAATGAAAAAATCAACCCTCCCCCCCCCCCAATCTATGGCAAGTATCCTCAGAGGTTGTGAGGTCTGTTGGAAACTAGGAACATTGGGTTTATATATCTGTGGAAGGTCCAGGGTGGGAAAAAGAACTCTTGTCTGTTGGAGCTAGATATGAATGTTTCAATTGGCCACCTTGATTACCACCAAATTTGGTCCAGTGAATGAAAATACATCCTGCATATCAGATATTTAGATGATGATTCATAACAGTAGCAAACTTACAGTAGCAATGAAAATAATTTTATGATTGGGGGTCACCACAACATGAAGAACTGTATTAAGGGGTTGTGGCATTAGGAAGGTTGAGAACCACTGTTTTAGTAGAAGGGTATCACAATATCCTCGCTGTGTGCCTTCTTGTCATTTTCTGACTTATGGCAACCCTAAGACAAATTGATTGTGGGTTTTTCTTGGCAATACTATTGGTTCAGCCTCTCCCTGAGGCTGAGAAAGTGTGCCTTGCCCAAGATCATCTGTTGTGTCCTATGGCACAGATTTGAACTCCAATCTCCAGATCTTAGTCCAACATTCAACCCACAATGGCTTTTCTTCGCATTGTAGAATATACAAGTCCAACAGTTGGGTTTTCTCTCCTTTCCCTCTCCTCCCGCTCCTCCTGAGTAATAAACAAGATTTATATGTGCAATATATTTCCTGGCTGTTTCAGCTATTTCACACATTCATTGTCTTCATGCCCAATGCCTTGCTATCACATTGCGAGGCAGGCTGTTTCCATTGTATCCATGTAGCCAAAGGAAGGCTGAGGGCTCCTGAATTGGGTAGATCCTCCTTTGGGATGAGAACAAAACCCATTGCTAGGGATCTGGCTACCAAGTAGATGAAGCATGGGCAGGCTTGGGTTCTCCAGGTGTTTTGGAGTCCAACTCCCACAATTCCTAACAGCCTCAGGCCCCTTCCTTTTCCCCCTCAGCTGCTTAAGCGACTGAGGGGGAAAAGGAAGGAGCCTGAGGCTGTTAGGAATTGTGGAAGTTGGACTCCAAAACACCTGGAGAACCCAAGCCTGCCCATGCCTGATGTAGATCCTTAGCAGAGGGTTTTATTCTCATCCCAAAGCAGGATCTATCCAATTCATAGTTCAGCCCGACTAGCTCTCTTTCAGCTGGTTTTGTTTGTATTATTATCATGACACAAGAGGAAGATGAGATCGGCTTTGATGGTTTCGTAAATGCTGCCTCGGATGTTTGTGAGAGGAGCTGGTAATAATACACTGCCAGTAGAAAGGGAAAGCTTCGATTGTGCTTCTCACCCCTGGGAAACAATGATCTGCACAAACAGAAATCCATCTAAGAGATCCGTGCCATCTTTCTTTCCCCATGGCTTCCATAGTCTCTCCCTCATCCCACCCAGTTCACTGAGATTCTCCTTTGGTTCCAGTTGGTTAACCCACTTCTTTATGTGGCAGATGTCCACAAGCTAAAGGAGGACAGTTTTGTGGGCTACTCGGAGCCTCTTAACTTGACCCTTCTCCAAAGAGGAACTCCAGGTCACCTCATAGTTGTTGGTAGTTATTATGTTTTTTAAAGTTCCAGCTGCCAACATAGAAAGGGGAAGAGAGGGCACGAGGGATTTACCAGCAATGAGCTAGTAAGGATTAATAGAAACAGAGAGTGAAAGGGATGGTGGAGTGAATGGATAAGCCCAAGTCGATCTCGCTGAAATCGTAGAGAAGGCTCCGTCTGCCCCCACCCCTCACAGAAAAAACAACGACAAGGAGAACACAACCCGTCTTTGTGTCAGGTTATGAAACAAAATGAGAAAGCATCTGCAACAGATACAGGAGCAAATGAAAGCAGAGGAAGGAAATGATGGTGAGAGGGAGAAAAACAAGCCAGGGAATGAGGGTTGTAAGTAAGAGACCTGTCAAGATGATCCATTAGATTTCTCTTCTAGATATCAGTGAGGCTGGATGTCGAAAAGAAAATGGTTTAACATTGAATTGGTATCAATGAAGAAATGGAAAGACTTTTAGCAGAAAATGGCTACTGATTCCTGGATTTAACAACATTATAGCCACAGTAACAGTCGTAAAAAATCACCATTGTCCAAGAATAGTTTTTTGAAAATGGTAATTCTGATAATTATCGAAGGCTTCCATGGCTGGAATCACTGGGTTGTTGTAGGTTTTTCAGGCTATAGGGCCATGTTCTATCCTGATGTCTCGCCTACATCCATGACAGGCATTCTCAGACCTCACAACCTGTGAGGATGCCTGCCATAGATGTAGGTGAAACGTCAGGAGAGAATGCTTCTAGAACATGGCCATATAGCCCCCAAAACCTACAACAACCCAATTCTGATAGACATGGAACCCTTACATTGTATTGTCGAAGGCTTTCATGGCTGGAATCACTGGATTGTTGTAGGTTTTTTCGGGCTATATGGCCATGGTCTGGAGGCATTCTCTCCTGACGTTTCGCCTGCATCTATGGCAAGCATCCTCAGAGGTAGTGATGTCCTCACAACCTGTGAGGATGTTTGCCATAGATGCAGGTGAAACGTCAAGAAAGAATGCCTCCAGACCATGGCCATATAGCCCAAAAAAATCTACAACAACCCAACCCTTATATTGTTTACACCAATCTTGTTGTTGTTGTTGTTGTTGTTGTTGCTGTTGTTGTTGTTGTTGTGTGTCTTCAAATTGTTTTCAATCTAGAGCAGCCCTGAGGTTCTTATCACAGGGGTCTCTTGTCAAGATTGGTTCAGAAGAGATTTGCCTTCCTCTAAGACTGAGACAGTGTGACATGCCTTAAAGTCACTCAGTAGGTTGTATAATTCTATTATTTGTTTTCTGGTGCAGTGATGAGAAAATTACTGTAATATGTCATCTTTTCATGCAAGGACGAACTAATCCAAGATTATACTTGCATACCATGAATGTACAAGTATGAACTGGTCCAACCAATGTCTCTCACGGAGATCTATAGAAGCCCTCCTTCTTGTGAAGCATCTCCAGTGAGTGGACTACTAAGGGCAGATGATCTTCCACACTCAGCCTCTCAGATATGCAGTTACTAATGGTACAGAGCTGTTTCACATATTGGTCTAAATCATGTTCTCTGTCCTGACCAAAGCACACCCACTGAATCAATGGGTTTAACAATGGGTCAGACAGACCTAGTTTAGGTGAGACTAACAAACAGGATGCCAGCCATTACATGCTGAGGATATGTCCATTGAAGGTTTTATATGCTGGTGTAACAATGTGATATATAAAGATGACAATACGTGTTGACAAATCTGTGTATTATGCAGGCTTGGGTACATAATGTCTGTGAATGTTTCCTCAATTGCACCTACAAATTGCTTCAATTTAATGTGTGAAATTACTTTTACTTATTGTCAAACCAGTGCTTAAAGAGGTACATTTAGTGACCATCAAGAAAGTGTATTCATACATATTTCTATCAGAAATGAAGGGCCAGTTCAAGACATTGTGTTACTAGCAGTGGGCCAACAAATAGCACAGCCTGCCCACTCAAACAAGTCAAATTTCAGAAACATCTCCTTCGCAGTAAAAACCTATAGTAATAACAAAGCAAATAATGAATATATGACACTGCCAACTTCTGTGTATATGTGCCTTCAAGTTGCCTATTTAATGGGTTTATGATTTATTTATTTTTTAGGCAAAAAATATTCAGGGGTGGGTTTGCCAGTTCCTACTATTTGCTGGCAGTCTCCCATCTAAGTACTAACCAGAGCTGGCCTTACTTAACTTCCAAGATCAGTCAGGATTTGGTGCCTTTCAGGTTTTTAGGCCCTGCCAGTCAATGTATCCCAATTAATAGTAAAATAGGCCATACGTATAGTTCCACTCCAGTGGCAAAGTTAAAGCATGTAGAAACCATGTGAGTTTTCACATATGACTAATTTATGCAATTCGGTCTCCTTGATCTAATGATAATTAGCTGAATTCATTTTTTAAAAGGATTGAATCAATGAGTTGAAGATACATATCTCAGTTATCAGT